ATTTGTTTGTCCAAACATTTGGGTGCCACAGGCAGGTTATTTATGGCAGGGAGAAGTTTCTATCTCCAGTGTAACCCAGGTGATTTAAGGGATGGGGATATTGGATCCCTGATTTCCACCCTGATGTTCCACGAGCTGGCAAGACAAAGAGCAAGGAAAACAAGCAACAACTCAATTCAAGGACAGCATGAGCCCAAACCCAGAGCACAGAGGGGATAAAACTCACAATTTTCCAATTCTTACCTTGTTTAGTTTTGTGCATCAGCAGGGCTTTCAAGGGACAAGCAACATTTGTGCTGCAGCTTCTCCTCAGACTTTGAGGTGCTCAGTAATTTTTAATGATAAATCATCATCAGGATTTAAAAACCACAGCTCTTTTGTCTACTTTAAAGTGTTAAGTTTTGCATTTTATCTCTTCAAAGGGGTTTTGCTTGTGGAGAGGGATAGGGAGGAATAAAAGCTTTGTAGGGTGGGGAGGTGGCTGCTTTGATAATTCAATCTTGCTCCTTCATTGAAACCCTCGAGAGACCTCTGGGCACAGCGACTGAATTGAACGGTGGTGTTATTGTTATTATCATCATCAATAAATAGAATTGTTCAGATCATAAAACATGCTGCACAGCATGGGATAGTTCAGCTACAGACTGCCAGGGCTTCGCTGCACTGCCTGGCAATGCTAAAACCCAGCAGTAAAGGCTTTGTAAAGAATTTAAACCCAACTCAGTGGAGTTGAAGGCCAGTCATTTGCAGGCTTCTGTCAAGAGCTTTTACTGCTCCTTTGCTGGGGCTTGTGGCTGCAGATTTTTCAGGTTCTTGGTAGACCCTAAACTCTTAAAGCCTTGAATCACAACAATTTATCACCCATCAGGGAGCTACATAAAATGTATTTTCCTTCAGAGTGACTATTCTCATTTAAAAAAAAACTAATTTAAAAAGAAAAAAAGACAATTAAGAATGTTTTTTAAAAATCTACACTACAGCCCAACTTTACAGGGATCCTTAAACCGAAAAAGTCTGGCCCCCCAAAAATTAATGCCACCTGCAAGCTGTAAATATATGTATTATTTAATTTTTTTCTCCCCAAGTATTTTCTTTGGCTGCTACATTCAGCTGAACAAGGCCTAAAAATTGTCAAACTAAATTCTTGTTTAAGAGTGGAGCTCTAACTACTGCCAGTTTGAGTGAAACACACAGCCAGGTTTAGGGAATATGTTTTATTTATCTTGGCTGCGGCACGGGGTGGAACATTTTCCATCCCATCCGAATGCAGTCAAAAAGGGGTTGAAATATTGCACAATAAAAGCCATTCATTATATCTGTCTCCTCTGCCTTCCAAAAACAGAGCTGCCTGACCAGCCCCGAATCCGGGCAGGGGGCAGGAAGATGGGAGTCAAGGGGTCACTGGAAATAACCCAAGACTAACACCAGGATTTTCAGGCCTGGCTTAGGGAATCTGTTCCATGTCCTTGCTCCCAGAGCACACAGGTTTTCCTGCTCCCCCCTCCCAAGCTGGCTAAAGTAGTTAATTGCTCTGTTATGCACAATTTACAGGAGTTAATTACTAAACTAATACATTAGGCTGCTTGTCTCCCAGTCCAGGCCCACCTCCAGCTCCTCCACTGGGACATGGGGAAATTGGACCTTACTTCAACTTAAAACATCTTGATTTTACCTCCTCACTTTAAAACCACGCTGAAGGAATACCCTGCCATTTCTTTATTTCCAGTGCTCATGTACCTGTTGGCAGCTTGAAAATGCAATTTCTTCCCCTGTTCCTTGTGTTGAACCCATTCCTGCCATTCTTCAGGGGAACTTCCCCCTATCTCCATTTCCTTTTCCACAGCTCTAACAATCCTTTTGCTGTTTGTTCCCCTCTTCATCACTAAAGTCTCTCCAGCTCTAAGAGTGAGAGGATTCACAGGGAGGAGTCGAGCACAAACTTTCTAAACATTTCTGAACAACAACTGGCCCAGACAAACCCACACCAGTGACATTTCTAGGAAGCCCTCAGGTGTTTCAGCATCTTCTATTGCCCATTAGTCAGGAGAAAGTAGAGAAAAATCAGCTGAAAACCCCATTTATTTACAATTATTTTAAAGTGAAAGAAATAAAAATGGTATATACAGTTTGTGTATTTTTTTTTTCCTCTGCTTATCAGGTCGGAATGAGGAAACTTTAACTACTATTAACTCATAAGGGAGACATTTGGTTCATCTCATCCCCACTTTCATAATTTATGTACACCTTAATTAAAGCAAAATATTGGCATAAAATAATTCCTGGGAAACATGAACACTTTCCATTGAAAAGCTCCTGGAGAATTCAGGGATGAGGACTGCTATCTGTACCTTGAGAAAAGTGAAGCAGAGACTTTTCCACTGTGAAATAGCTGCCAGATATCCAGCTCTGAAAATCTGTCACCACCACAATTCGCAGAAGTGATGTGTAATTACTCTTACTTATTAACAACATCATAATTACAGAGTAGCAAAACAATCAGCCTTTCCAGGCCCCAGCACTTGTCCTCCCTGCCAGTCAGAGCAGTAATTACGTGGTGAGCTGCTAAATGCAATTATTCACCAATCCACACCCAGGGCTGGCCCCTCCCTGCTTGAAGTCCATATAAATTAAAGTAGGGAAGTATTTTAAACACAAATTCATCGTTATAAAAACCCTCCAAAGGGAGAAGAAGAGCCTCGCTTGCGAAGAGGAATGGCAATGGCGTGGATTTTTAGGTGCCACTAAAACACAGGGTCTGAGCTGGAGCTGAGCACAGAAAAATGGGATAAAACCACTGGAATCTCCTTCAGAACCACAAACTGATAAAGTCCTGACACCTCTCTGCTGTCATAAACCTTGATTTCATTTCCAACCCCGCAGCATGGCCTCCAAGACAAGACACAACTCTAGAGCAGCTGCTGGTACAGGGAGAAGGAAGCTGCTGTCATTCTGAGGGAAACATCCGTTTTGGAAAAGCTGATGTGACAATGGAAAAACGCTGCTGCTCCCACCCCTGTGAGACATCACAGGCAGCAGGTGTAGGGCCCACAGTTTCAGGAGTTTAGGGAGCTCCAGCTCCGAGGCAGAGCAGGGACTTGGGTGAGATCTGGGTGTTTAAACCCTGAGATGCTGCACAGGCCTTGCATGAGGAGCTCTCCCAAATTCCCCCAGCTGAGCCATTCCCGAGCTCCATGCTCCACCACGGAGCCCGGTCTGGACAGCTCAGCAAGCCCCACACCAGCTCCCGCAATCTCCACCATCAGAAAACACAGCCAGAGCCTCCAGAGGCCATCCTGGCCTATCCCTACCTCAGGAAGGACCATCTGTCATTCCTGACAGATATTTGTTTAATCTGTTCCTGAAGGCCTCCAGTGATGGAGATTCCACACTGCCCAGGCCCTGGATTCCCCTGCTTGGCCATGGCTGCTGCAAGAACTTTAATGCTTAACAGAGACATTTTCCTCCAATTTAAACACATTTCTTGTCCTTCTCAGTGCAGATATGGAGAACAGATTATGGCCCCCCACCACTGCACCTTCTGCACAGCTGAGGACTCATTCAAGTCCTCTCCAGATTAAGAAGACAAAATATTTCGAGGATAAATTCTATCCAGAGGAGAACAGGAACTAAAAAGTACCATAAAGTAGCAATCTCTCTTGGAAAGAACTGCATCCTCTTCACTTCTTGTAGGTTTCCTCACCCTGCCACTGCCATCAGGCATCCACAAATGATTCCTAACAACCCTTTTCTACCCAGCTGTACCAGGAAGAAAATCCAAGATTTGTTTCCCTCTCCTCATGCCTTCAGTCCCAGCTGCAGCCCATTCAGGGAACCCCTTGGGGAACCTCGAGGGAGAGGTCCCTGTGCTGCTGTGTCTCAGCACCCCCAGAGCTGGGATTAGCCCCTCCTGGATTAAACAGGAATTTATTCCTCTTCCCCCAGGACAGCTCTTTGATGTCACTATTCCAGTCAGATATTCAGGATGTGACAGCCACAGTGTCACCAGTGATTTGGTAGCTAAAAGCTGCACAGACACACCCAGACAGCTCAAGTACAACTTGACTCTGTTTAGGCACAAAGTGACTTCCATCTAAAACTCACACCTGATTCCAGTCCATCATCATTTTACTCTCCCAGTTTAACTCCAGTTCAGTTGCTGCTTTGTTTTGAACAGTAAAAGGAGCAGCTAGTTTTACTAATCTACTCAATTTTTCAAGCTTTGCATTTTAACCTCAGTCAGCCTCTCAGAATTTGTCCATGATATTCTTTTCCATGTCCCTTCCAAGCAGAAAGCTCAGCCCAGCCTGCCCTCTCCTGGCAGCCAAGCACAGCATCCAACCCAGGAACTCTCCCAGCCTGCTTCCAAGCCTAACCCCAAAAGCAAATCCCCAAGTCAAGCATTAAGGCAACTGTTTTTGTAGGGATTTAAGACATGGAGATGTGGCACTTGAGGACGTGGTTTATGGGCCACAGGGCAGTGCTGGACTCTGATCTTAAAGCTCTTTTCCAACCCAAATGATTCTGTAACTCAAACAGCACTTAAATAGTGGTGTTTCTTTCAAGTTGCTTTAGGAATTCTTGTCTTGGGAGAAAGAGGTATAAAAATCCAACTGCTCTGGTTGCTTTCAAGCTTTATAAAAGCAGCCAAGTACATAAAGGGTTTTATCCCACATCACTCATGGTAAAAAACAGGTCACAGAAGGGACAGTGTTGGACACAAAGCCATTTCCTCCAGGCTAGCACAGCGATGCCTCTGGGCTGGAACACCCCAGGATGAAAAATGAGAGCAGCAACAAACCCTGGAGCAGAGCACCTGCAGTCCTCACTCTTGATTCCATTGCTCCAAGCAGAAAAATGCAAACAGGAAGATGACAGGGGATGGACTCAGGACACACACATGGAAGGGAAGGGCTGGGAATGAATCCTGCTGAGGAATGCTTCTCTGCCCTCAGCCAATCTCATTTGCCAGATGAATTTTATACACAATCAAGGTTTAAAAGTTTGGTTTTTTTTCTTTAATGACCACTCTTTACATCAGAGAATTATTCATGAACTCTAACACAAAATCTTACTCTAAGGAGCTCTACCCCTGCTCCTGCCCAAAGCCTCTTCAGAAGACAGAAAAGTTCCCCACATCCTCCTCTTCCCTTTCAAGCACAGGGGAAACAGACCCTTGGAGCAAGTGTAGCCAGAAGGACACATTTGACACCATGGTTTAATGTCTAAAGACAAGCCCACCTTTATCAGGGAGAAGAAATTTTTATTCTCTTCATCACCTGCCATAACTGTACCAGACCAATGCTCTGAGCCAGTCTGCCACACAGCTCAGATCTTCAAGCAATTTAGGCATCAAGGCAAGGAAAATGAGTCCTAAATTATCCAGAAAATTAATAAGAAAATAAGTGTGGAAATACAAGTGTGGAAGAGAGAAGAAAACTGCACTTGAGAGACAACACAAGGTTCTAAGAAGCACCTTCACTTCAGAAAATCAGAGATGCCTGAAACATCTTTCAATCTTAGCTCAAGAGTTTCTGCTGCTTCCAAGTGTTTTTGGTGACTCCTGTCTTTCCCACACCCAGAATTTGTGCTTCTCCTTCTCTGGGTGGGAGCCCAGGGCATTTCTTGAGCTGTGGCTTCAAAGAGGCTTCTCCTCCTCCACCTCCTGCCAGGACCAGCAGCAAGAGGAACAGAGCCCTCGTTCTCCTTCCCTGGGGCTGGCAAGGGGAGGAGGGTTTGTTCCCTGGGGTGAATATTCTCAGATCCTGCCAGGATGGATGTGCTGAATCTTCTCCTGGCTTTGGGAGCAGCTGGGAGGGAAGGCTTGGGAATCTCACTGGGAAGCTGAATCCATGCAAGTCCCTCACTCGCTGCATCCTTGCTCAGCCTCATGCTGCGCCTCACCCTGACCTCAGCACTGGCACTGCTCCTCCTGCAGGCCTGCAGGGACCCCTCCTTTGCCTGGGGCACTGAGAAAAATTCTTCCACATTGTAAGAGGAAACTGGAAGATCAGCCCCAATAATTTCCAAGTTTTCAGCAGGAGGGAAGAAGAAGGCACGGCTGCTGCTTCTTCTTCTCCTTGCTGAATCACCTCTGACAGAATCCTTTTGAGGACACTTGGTTCTCTGGGCAGCCTCCTGTACATCCTGTCGTTCCAGAATTTCCAGCCCAGTTAAGAGATTTCCTTGTAATTCCTCCTTTTCTATCAAGGAACTGCTTTCTTTTGCTTCTTTTTCACATAGAGTCTCTTTGTCTTGCTGGAAAAACTCAGATGTATCAAAATCACCTTCTGCATCTGGCACAGTGTTTGAAAACTGGGGGGACAAAAAATAATAATAATTCTTAGGTTTTTTTAAGTATAGGCAAGAGGTAATCCATAAAAAAACTGGTTTCAAACAGCTGAGCTGGTTATTGTTGTCATGTCAATCTCCAAAATCCCAACAACTGACAGGGAATCCTGCAGGCTGGAATCTGTTTCAGTGTGAGGCCAAACTTAGGTTGCTTGGGAAGCAGAGAATGCTGGAATGGCCAGGGCTGGAAGAGACCTTAAAGATCATCCTATTGCACCCCCTGCCACGGGCTGCTCAGAGGCTCAGCTGAGTTCTGAATGCCCAAGGATGGAGATTCCATGGCTGCCTGGTCCCCAGTTTGATCACTCCTAGTGTTTTTCCCCCAAAGATCACTCCTGTGGTCCCTCCTCAGCCCAGCAGTTACCTCAGGAGCAGGGCCAGGAGCAGCCTCCAGGCTCCCTGGCACCTCAGAGTCTCCAGGCCCAGAGCTGGAGGCTGCTGCCTCCTCCAGGAGCCCGGGGCACACAGGGCACACAGCAGCTGCACGGAGCTTCTCACTCCTCCTCCCAGCCTGGGGCTGCTGGGGCGTGTCCCTGCAGGCACCCCTGGCTTTGGGATTGCCCAAAGCTGCAGCCTCTGAATGAGAACAAACACGTGGTTAATTGAGTACAAAACCTTCCAGGTATTACAAGAAAAGCTTTGTGGTATTTCACTTCTTATATAAATTATTTCTTATACTTCTTTACCTATATAAAAATAACTTTCTAAATGAGCATCCCAGATAAACAGTGGGGAACAAACCCAACAGAAAGCTCTGCACATCCCTTAACTCTTCATGCCCAACTCAGCAGCTTAAAGACTGTGAAAACAGCAGTACCAAAGTAAAGATTTACTTTAATAAATTGTCAGATTTACACTGAAATCCAGCAAGAACTGAATTTATCCAGATGGACATTGTTAATTAATTAGATCCTCCAGACTCTGCTATTACAGAAGCAATTAAAAGTAAAAAAAAATATTTTTGTGTGTGTTCTTGTGTTGAAATAAAGGAACAGAAAGAACAAAGCAAAACAAAACTAAAACCCAAATTACCTGTAAAAAGTGCAGCTGCCTTTGGCGAGCTTGGAGATGAGAGGGAAGAGAAAACCTCTGGAATTTCAGGGATAGGGCTGAGAAGGGGTTTCTTGGAAGCCATTTCTCTTTCCCCGTACAAAGATTTCTTGACTTTTTTCTTTCTTCTTCTCCCAAAGCTTGGGTACTTTGTTTTCTGAAAAGATTGAGAAGGACAATAAAAAAGACTAAAGTGAAATTTTAATAATCCTCTACAATATTTTTGAATAACTGATGTCATGACTGGATTTTGATGGATGACAAACTGTTTCCCCTAAAATGAAGGTTCCACTTCTTTTGGTAGCTACAGAACAATCTAAAAACTCAAAAGCAAAAAAGAATTTCTTTTCTAACATGGCTCTGCAAGAGCTTGGGAAGGGAATAACCACAAATTCATTTGTTGGCCCTCTAGTCTGAAAAGTAACACACAAACACCTCTCTCCAAAAAGATCTTTTTGGCCCTACAAGCATTCAAGTCCTCAAGTCAGTAAAGAAGAGGGATGGGACAGAAAATGCAGGAAAACAAGATGGGGATGAAGAAGAAAATATTGGCAGCAACAGGAAGATCAAAATAAACCTGTAAGACACAAGGAGAGACACTTGGAGAGAGAAATAAATAAAAATAAGAGCAGAATTCAGCAACTGCAACAGCTGGCACTCACCTTGGTCTTCTTGGGAGCAGCTTTGGTTGGATTCTCCTGTCTCTGAATCTTGCTCCTTCCTGGGTTTTTAGTGTCTTTGTCATTCCCAGGGTTTGTGGCTCCCAAGCTGCTGCAGTCAGTGTCATCTGCCACGGCCCTGCACTGCTGAGGAATGGGATTTGGGGTGCTTGGAGGCACCTGCTGCTTATAAAACCCCAGAGTCCAACAGGCATGAGAATCAAATGGAATTAATCTCTATCACCTCATAAAGGGTTGGCACAACTGGAAATTAAATATTACAGACTCATTTCTCCCAGTCCTGTTTATATTATAATGAAGATACAGTAAATTTTCATCTTCAGTTATTTAAGAAAACGGGTTACTGTTTTTATATTCCTCTGGTTTTTGCCCTGCCCCTCCCACCAGAGCTGTCCAACACTGAAATCTGAAAGCATTTCTTGTACAGTCAATTGTGTGCCTTGAAATTCCAGCAACCACAACATTTTGTCAGATTATCTGGAAAAGCACCTGGAAAATCCAATAGAAATTGTCAATTTAAGTATCAGGCTTTATTTTTAATAACTGGAAAATCATTTTCATTGAAAAATCTCATTTCCTCAAGGCACTAGCAGGAGGTATTTCCATACACCAGGATATAGATAATCCCCATACCTGAGGCTGGAAAAACTTTTTTAAGCATCAAGAGGGATAAAAGAGAACAATTCTGCCTGAAGAAGTTCAAAAAAACAATGTAAAATTGTTTATCCTTATCACTAAGGAAACTCACCTTCCTTTTAGTAGACCAAGTTATCATGTCAGGTTTGTCAGTCTCTGCTACTATAAATGAAAAAAAAAAAAGGGTTTTAATCAGTGTCAATGCAAGTTAATCACATTTGGAGGAAATTACCTACATAATTTCTGATATTATGCACTTCAGACACTTTAATCTGGAGTAGGAATTCAGTCTTGAGGACTATGAAACATGGCAAGATAAAAAAATTCTACCTTGCTCTTCAAAACAGAGGAAAACTCAGCCTGAGAGGATTTGGTAACAGTAATTAGAACATCCACAGCTTTCACAGATAAATATGCACAACCCACTTTCAATTATTTTCTTGTTGGGTTGCTGTTTAAAAATCATCAAAATTACAGTATCAGAATCAAGATTCTCAAAAAAAAATTACTTTAAGCAGTAAAATTTTCACAGAAAGATATCACAAGTCTAAATAAGATCCAGCTACTGCTATGAACTTCAGAAGAAAACCTTTGCATTTAAATGCTAGCATTCAAATTTTAACATGATTGAAAAATATCCCCTTGTATTAAAAAAAAAAAATTCAAACAGAAAAATGAACCAAAAGCCTCAACTCTTAATTTTCAGGTACAAAAAGATTCATTATCTACTGAGCAAAAGACAAGTTGGGGTTACCTTCTGCATTTTCGACAGCTGAAGGGGCTCCTGCAGCAACAGAACCTTCCAGGAATTCTGGGAGAGGCTCAACACCTTCCTTCAAACAAAAAATTACATTTTTTGGCAATAAATTACAGCAGATATTTGATGGACCTTGTCCATCAGTGTTTGTAGACAAAATGGTTTTGTTTCCTGAAAGAAAACACCTTTGCTCTGTGTGGCAAAACAAAACGCGACAGCAAAACATAAGAAAAAGCAAAGGGAAAAACATTTCAAGATTCAGAAACCTCCTAAAACAACTCTCTAAGCCAAAGTGCTGGTCAGAATTCCTAAAAACTCAACTTCTCAGTGTGATCCTAGAACTCCAAGCAGGGCAGAGGCTCCTCAGAGAGGCCCGGCCTTGCCCTGAGGCTCTGCCCTTGGGGACAGCCTGGGGAGGCTCCTCTGCGTAAGGGGGTGTTGGCAGGAAGGCTTTGGTCAAAGATTTCAGGGCTCAGAACTTCCCCAAAAGTCACTTTTTTCTTCTTTGGTGTTTTGGAGCTCTGGCTGTCAGTTCTCTCTGTTGGAATAAAATGAAATAAACAGCTGAGTGAAGGGGGATTGGCACAGAGCAGAGGCTTTGTAAGAGACTGAAATATTCTCCTAAAAACCATCACCCAAACGATCAGCAAAACGCTACTTTTCAGGGCCTGTGAGGCCAACCAGGATTTTCACTCTGGATTTATTAAAAAAATAAGGAAGAAACAGACTAAAAATGACCATCTGTTCCCCAAGTTTCAGTTAAAAAATGCAAAACTCCTTTAAAAATCAGAGATTCTATTCTGGTGTTCGAGGCTTTCTGAAGTTTTGGGGTGGGATTAATTTTTTTTTTGATAGATGTTCTTTTCCTTGGCAATCTTGTTTTCCACATCATCAGCAGGATGCCACAAGGAGGTCATTCAGTGGTGATTAATACCAAAAACCAGATTTTGCAAAGAGGCAAAATCTTTTCATCCTAGACAATACTTTAGTTAAAAAAGAAATAAAGAAAGCCAAGGGGAATCTGACCTGCTTGCAATGTTTCAAAGGCTTTTACACAATTGGAGACTGCAGCAGATTCACCTCCTCCTCTGTCACTGGCACTGTTTGAATATTCCTGTCAAATTTAAGAGATACAGTTCAATAAAATTTAATTAAAATATTGTCCTCTAAACAGCATTTAATAATCAAGCCTTTGTTTAGCCAAATCTACTTGTTTGGTGCATGAATAAAGCTCAAAAACATTAATTTCATGGATTCATGGAATGGTTTTGGTGCGAAGGGAGCTTAAAATGATCCAGTGCCATCCCTGCCATGGCAGGGACACCTCCCCCTGTCCCAGGCTGCTCCAGCCTGGCCTTGGGCACTTCCAGGGATCCAGGGGCAGCCACAGCTCCTCTGGGAATTACATCCCAGCCCCTTCCCACCCACTCAGGGAACAATTCCTTCCCAATATACCATCTAAAACTGCCCTTAGTCAGTTTGAAGCCATTTCCTGTGTCCTGGCACTCCAGACCTTCATAAAGTCTCTGTTTTCCTGTCCTTCTAGGACCCCTTCAGGTCCTAGAAGGTACAGTTGGGTCACCCCAGATCCTCTCACACCACAAAACCTCCAAGCAAAGCTCCCACGATGGCCAAGCAGCATTAAATCATTTCCAATTCCTTCCCAGTCAAATCAGTCAGCACAGCAATTAGTCAAATCAAATCAAAGCACCTTTGGGCTCATCCTTAGTGCAAGCACTGAACCAACCTTGGCACTGTCCATGAGCTCCCTGCCCGGGGTTTTCTTCAGGATGGATCTCAGCAGGGAGCTGCTCTGGGAGAGATCACTGCTGGGAATGTTCCCTTCTCCCAGTGGTGTTCCAGGGGCTTGGCTTCCCTCCAGCACTGCCAGGCTCACACCTCCCACAAGGTCAGCCTTCCTGGCGCTGAGATCTGAGACAGCACCACTGTGGGCACACCTGGGAACTGGAGAGAGCTCTGACACCAAAAGGTTGAAGGAAAACTGACAAAACTTTAGTATAAAAACGTGAGCTATAAAACTGCACACATCTCAACAGATCCTGTGTGGAAACATCCCACAAAAATTTATCAGTCTGTGAGTACTGGCTCTTTCTGAGCCACATGTACTATTCTGTGTTCTCAGAAATTTATAAAACAAATTTACAATACAAAAAAGGAGCAGCACATGAAGGAAAAGTTACATCAGGTTTCTACAGCATCCTAAGTTGTAAACAAGATGACAAATGTCAGCTGAAACAGTTCCTGAAAAATATTCCAGTATTTCTATTCCTTAATGAGGGTCTAACAAAGATTATAACAGTGCTGAATCCTCTTACCATGGCCTGTTTCCAGAGTATCTCCAGTTACAACAGTCTCCAAGGACTTAATGGGATTTTGCGGCTCATAAACCCATTCCTAAAGAAAAAGTCACAGGATTTTTACAACAGCACAAATTATGGAGGGTTTTAATCCCACAGACAAGGATTTCAGAGTTTTCCCCATCATCCACTCTTTCACCTGAATTTATTTTCCCAAAACACCCAGGGAAATGTTTAGAAAATGCTTAATTAATGAAGAAATTGTCTATTTTAATGTCTAACTTAGAGGTTTCTCCCCATTTCAAAGCACCTTTGCAGCAGCAGGGCCAGCAGCAGTCACAGCTCGGCATGGGGACAAGATGCTGCAGATCCTGAGCTCACTCCTGATGCTCTTGGTCCCATTTCCTTTTAAATTTTCTTGCAAAGCAGCTCCTCTGTTGCCCAACACGAACTTTTCTCTCCACTGCTCCAGGTTTGGCTCTTTGTTAGGAGGTGCTTTATTCAGAGCTGCATCAATTAAAAATAAAACAGAACCCAAACAAACTGCAAAGAGAAACTTCAGGTTTTTCAATGAAGAGAGGTCAAGAGGTGCAAAAAGTCAGGTAATGTTCTAGGCAGGGAGAACACATTTTTTAGATCTACTTCAAAAATAACATTTCCAGCCTTGAAAATAAGTGATTCTTTTCATATAAATGTTATTAAGACCTGCAATAGCAGAAAAGTAAAATGAAAACTATTCTCCGTTTCATGCAAAAAAAGTGCAAAAACATTAGTGCTCAGTGAGAAATCTATCAAAGAACACAAATATAGGAACCAAAACTAAGGAGTCCCAAAAATACAAATTTTTGGAGAAACCACTAATGAGGGTGCATTAAGGTGGTTTAAACAAACAAACCAAACTTCAAACCAAGCACAAACACCTGTGCTGAGCCTTATAAAGGAAGATTATTCTGTTTTTTAAGAAATATTTCTGGTTTCATACTTTCAGCCTAAAGGAAGAGCTGATATTTAATGTAAATCACTGACCAGGATATTTAATCAACTCATACAAACCTCCTTCCTGGAAAGGCTCCCCCAGGTGTGAGAGCCCAGCCTCCCCCTCAGCTTCTTGCAGGGATTCAAAACAGGCTTGGAAAGCTTCCATCTTGTCCTTCAGCGACCTCACATTTGCAGGTTTAAAAGGACTGATCTGCCAAAACAAAATTAACCCCATCAGGCATTTCTTCCCTCACCATTTGAGCTTTAATGTTTTGAATTTCCACCTTGACCTAAAAGACAAAGAATCTGGCATTTAATCTGGCTTCAATTGTATCTGTACAGTAAAAATATGGGAAAAAAGGAACTTCACCCAGAAATCTGGTACATTTTATTGCATTTGATCTGTTCTTCTAGTCTAGAATTTGCTTTCTGACAGCCCAGCATGGTTCAAGTCATGATCACATCTGATTAACTAAGTCATTCACACTTGAAGTCACTTCATTTGGAACAAGTAACAGTTTAATTACCCAAAAACCAAGTGTAGCAAACACAAGAATGTAACAAAAGTTAAAATACATCAGCAAGCTTAACATGGAGAAGAAATTTCAGCCTCTACACAGTGCAAACAAAACCTGAAACACTTCTTTGTCAGGTGACCAAGGGACAGCAGCAAATCAATGCCAGTTATCCCTACTGCTGGATTCTTCCCAAGACTTGCCTCCCATTCTCCCAGCACAAGGTGGCTTCTGGAGGGAGTGGAAGTTCCCCCTCATATATTTGGGAAGGATTCTCACCTGGGTGAATGCTTCTTTCTGCCTGTTGCTCCTCTGCTGGGCCAGGTACCGGATCAGGGTATTGTTTTCTGGTGATCCCCTCAATCCAACTGTTGACCTTCTCCTAAATTTTAGGGAAGTTGGGGAAGTCCCTGAAAAGGGGACGAGAGAAGAGGTTAGAAAGAAAAACAAAGCGCAAAACCACAAAAATGTTTTGTAATACCTAAAACTCTAAAATGGCAATTTTTTTATCCTTTTTAAGGTTGATTAATGCTACTTTTTCTAAGATATAAAATTACCTGCTCAGCCTAAGAAACCTCCCTGAGCTCATCACATTAAGGGCCATAAAGCAATTAATCACAAACCAAGTCTGCCTTTTAGCTTTTCAATTGCTTGCTAGTATTTTCACCAATACTTGCAGAATTTGTCTTGCAATTCCCTTGTGAAAGTCAAACACTTCATTAACTCGAGATAAACAGGGAGCATTTACCTGTGTAGGATATAGCCAGTTAAATGGTATCATTATCTTGTATAGGGGATATCCTATAAATATGTTGTAGCAACAGCCTCTCAGAGTGTGCTCCTGGGCATACTCAAACTCTGATCATCTGAATCTGCCCTAAATTAGAGCCTTTGGCACAAGGCTGGACTAAAGGAGCTGCAGAAACCCCTCTGAGAAGGACAAAAATCATTTGTCACCCCAGCCTCACCCGTGGGCCGTTTGCCAACACTTTCCCGAGTGATCCCAAACTCAGCAGTTACCACAGCGGCAAAATCAACAGGTTTGTTCCTCTCTTCGGATAGTCTAAAATCAGGTTTTGCTTCCACTTTGTCTCTCTCAGGAGTGGAGAAGTCATTTTCCAAGGGAACAGCTTGGCTGCTGGAAAAATCCCCCTTGGTGTGCAAAGGCAAGGGGAGTTCAGCGAGCACATCCCCCCTGAGCGCCCCAAAACACCTCCCAGGGAGCTGCCAGCTCACATCAACCCCCTGGGGCTGACACAAATTCTCCTCGGGGCATTTCAGGACACGTTTTGGTGGCTGTGTCTGGTTCCCATCAGTGAAATTCTCCTTCTTGGATGGTCTGATGCCTTTGGGTTTGGTCACTTTGCAGCTCTTCTGGTCTCTTGGTGGAGGGAAAGAGGCCTCTTCCTTCTGTTCAGGACAACCACACTCATTTTCTTTAACTTTCAGGGGAGTTTTAGATCCTCTGAGCATTGTTTGGGATTTATTTGAAGGAACATTCACTCAGCCTTTACTCCTGTAATTACAGATTCCTATTAAAAAGAGAAAAAAAAAAATATTATTTGCTAAGAGCAAGAGCTCACTACCACGCTCAAGCTTCTTCCAAATCCACATTTTTCCTGGACAAGGTGTTTAACAGGAAGGTGGGAAGGGAAATTTATGCCCAAAAAACTGCAGGGAAAGGACCCAAGGGCCAGGAACCAGAAAGAAAAACACAAGACCACTAAAACCCTGCATTATAAACAGGCACAGGAGTGGCTCAGGGTAAGGAGCCACAAAGCTCTGTCAAACCTCACATTAATGTCAAATACATGTATAAAATACATTAATCACAATCACACTGTCTTGCTCCAAGTGTTACAACAAATATCAGCAGTTTAATGCTACTTTTAACAACACTAATTAGTAGCAGCAGAAAGAGAAGGAAAGTCTTGGAAAGAAATCAACAAAATTAAAACCACTGGCAATATGTATTTTTTAAAATATCACGAGCTTTTGAGTAGAAACTTTAAAAGGCTAGGGTTTTTTTTGCAGTTAGTTTCGTGAGGTTAATGACGGACAACTCAATAACGTGACACTTCGCTCCTGCAAATACGCGCACTTTTAGATACAAAATTACCGAAATTAACCTTCTTAACGACGCCTGGGCAACCTTTTTCTTTCTTATTTTTCCTTTTTTCTGCTCTGAGACCCCAGAGGAGCCCGATCTGGCCACAATCACAGCCACCAGACGAGGGAAAAGCCCCCACAACGGGACTCCCCCGGTCTGCAGCACCCCTTGGGCGCTCGCACCCCGCAACCCCGGAGCTCACCCCAGGTACCCGAGTACCTCCCACATCCACCCGGCCAGCCCAGAGGATTCCCCGCACCCTCCCGGCCTCTTCCGAGG